CCGCCACACCGTTGAACCATTGTCGACAGTGGCGGCGGTGGAACAGGCGTCAGCTGACCGTTCCATCCCCTGTGATCAGAGGCGCACTGTATGATAATTTGCACTGCAACGGCACCACAGTCATCACTACACCACACTCGCAATAGGGCGATCGTTCTGGTTGTCTCACGCCCATGATGTCGAGCCTGCGCTGGGCCCATCAGCAGTCCGTGGGAGGTCTGGCAAGCTCCTCAACACGCAGTCTTGCGGTGCGTTGAGCCTACGAATGCAAAGGGCTGGCGGTTTGACAACTAGTGTGATCGATCGGCGCCAAACTGAGCTCGTCAACGCCCACGCAGGCTCCCTCGCATCCTGGGCAAAGGATGCGGACTCTCCCGCGATTCCACAACCCAGCCAAGGTCCCTGCGGGGATGGGTGAGCAAGGCGCGAGTGGGGCGGGCACAGTGCACGCGTCGCTGCGCGCGTGAAGTGCTGCATCGGGCATGCAGTTGCGGCTCGCGTGCCATGTGAGGTCGCAACCCTTGCCAATCACACATGGGTGATTATAGGAGAATAGTGGCAGATGGCATATCGAGTCGGGTTATGCCCACACGCAAGGTCCCCCAGGCATGTCTCTTGACCGCCTTCCCCGGCTGCAACCCTCCGCAGCCAACAAGAAGGTGAAGCTCAGCTTCAAGATCCCCTACCGTGTTAACTTTGGACAAGATCTGTGCATGGTAGGGTCGACTGACGACCTGGGCAATTGGGACCCCAAGCGCGCCGTGCGCATGGAGTGGAGCGAGGGCGACGTCTGGCAGGTCGACCTGGAAGTGTCGGCTGGGTGAGTGCCACTGGACTGTGCGGAGCTTGTGTGGGCATACGAATGCACTGTTTTGCGCAATCGCAGGTAGCTGCATACATGCATGCATGCGGTACTGGCAAGGCGCTGCCAATGATGACCCCAGCCTGCTAGTAATCCTGATATCAGGCCCGGGTGCACCGGCGCATGCAAGACCACCACTCTGCATGCTCCTCACGCTACTCCAGGCCCGAGCTTGATTTGCAGTACAAGTACCTGGTGCGAAACTCCGACGGCGGCGTGTCCCAGTGGAAGCCGGGGAGCAACTACAGGTTCAGCCTTGAGCCGGTGCCCGCCGGCACGCATGCTGTGCTGCCGGGCGGCGCGATCGTGCGCGACGCATGGGACGGCAGCGTGAGGGACGTGCGGGTCGAGGTAGAGGAGGACGGCATGTCGCGGGCCATGACGGACGCGGAGCGGGAGCAGGACGCGTTCCGCGAGTCGGTGAGCGACCCAGAGAAGGCAGGGGCGGCAGCGGGCGGGCGTGGTCAAGCGTGGGATCTGCGCACAGTCGAGGGAGATAAGAGCGTGGTATTGCACCGCATCTCAAGGCTGGTGCTGGGATGGTAGGTCTTCCCCTCCCCAGCTGGCTCGATTTGGAGCGCCCCAGCTGCTTGAAGTCACTTGGCAGGAGCAGCAGCTTCCACTGGCAGGACAACCTTCTCAAACTCACGTGCGCCCTGCTGCCGCTCCGCCTTGTTGTGCATCGTGCAGCTGATGAGCGCCCTGAACGAGCTGACCGCGCAGATTGGGCAGGCTGAGGAGATTGGTGGCAGCATCGATGGTGCGCAAGCAAGGCAGGGGAGGGGCTTGGCATGAAAGGGGGTGTTGGAGACGGGGCCCTGGGTCTGTGTGAGTGAGAAGGCCGTAGTTTGACATGCGCGACCTGAATACCACTTTGCTTGAAACCCCCACTCATGCTTGCAGACCCGACGTCGCCAGACGTGCTCAAGGCTGACCGCCTGGTCGCTGCCGCAACACGCAAGGCGGTGAGCAGGGGATCTTCGGGGGCGTCGCGGGCTGCCCTTGTGCGTCGTGGCGGTTGTCAAGCATCACTCATGTGCTGCTTGCCAGAATGAACAGAGCCTGCCCTTGCATGATGCACTGTCCGGACCATCCCAAAGATTGGCGCTTGTTCCCCCATTCTGCTGCAGGTTGCTGTCGCCCACGCGCTGAACGCTGCCACAGCGCAGAGCCGCCTCAAAGCTCCTGGTGACGTCAGCAAGCTGTCAGCTTGAGGGCTGCCGGCAGCTACAACCTGCGCCTTGGCATCGGCATTGCGTGCAGTGCCCCTGAAACGGGGTGTATCATGCCCAGCCCAGTCATGTGTCATTCTTGTATGTACGTTCGCTGACGCTTCTTTACTTGGTGCCTTCTATGAGCCGTGCTGCTTGGCAGCGCCTGCTCCAACACCCACACGCACCAACCCAGCTCGCCCAACTCGTGTTGAGCGAGTTGCACTTGCTTGAACATGGGACACAAGGATGTGTGGGTTCACATGCGCAGCCGGCGCAGGTGTAGTCCGACGTGGCTGCCAAATGCAGCAGTGCAAGGGGTGACCAGGGGATACCAAAACATTGTAATCTGTGATAGAGGCCTTCTCTTGTCCATTTGGCGTCCTGTGATTAGGGCTGTAACTTGCAACGTTGATCACAAAAATGCTGGGCTTTGTGTTGTGGCATGTATCGTGAGGGACACAAGCGTGTGTGGGCGTAGTCAACAGGGCTGCCTACAGTGCGGTGAACCTCCTCCTGCTCATCCCTCTCCTGCCTTAACAAAGCAGAATCAAAGATCCACACATCCTGGCTGCCCATATACGTGCGCATGCCGCTTTCGGTCGGCCAACGTGAATTCTGAGCCCAGCAGGTTACCTGCTGGTCTCAGGGTGGGCAGCCCAGGGGCAGCCATGCAGGACCAGTGCAGGACGTCGTGTGCAGTTCTACCGTACAGTACCGATAGAGCGGTGCTGGTTCATGGCATCCAATCGTTGTGCATCGCCTCGCAGCATATCATATACAAACATTGCCGTGAACAGTAAAACACCTCACGCGACACCACCAGATCGCGTGTGCTCAAATCAGGGACGCTAGAAGCTGGTATCTTGCCGCATAACAAACGTGATATCACGCTTTCGAGGAGTCTGTGCAATTTATCGGATACGTCGCAGTTTGCTCGATAGATCATTGGCTCTCGTGGTGTTCAGCAAGCAGCCTGGCAGCTCGACTGCTCTGAAGAGCTTCTAAGCGGTTGGAAGGGGCTCTGCCAATAGATCGGGAGCAGCCATGGACTTCTTCATGGGCGTCAAAGGCGAGTGCCGTTGTGTGTGCGAGCGCGACGGCGTAAGCCGCTGCTGTGCAGTGCTGTTGCCATCGCTGCCGTGCACCTTGGCGCAAACGCGGGATCTGGTTCTTCTCACTGCCAATGCCCCTTTGCATTCATGTGCAGGCAAGGACTTTGTGATGGTCTGCAGCGACACCTCGGCTGTCCACTCGATCATCACAATCAAGCAGGACGAGGACAAGATCATTCCCATTGACAGCCACAAGGTGTTCTGCGTGGCAGGCGAGGCAGGCGACCGCGTGCAGTTTTCAGAGTACATCATAGCAAACGTGAAGCTGTACGCACTGCGCAACGCGACCGAGCTCAGCACAAAGTCGGTGGCGCACTATGCGCGCGGGGAGCTGGCGACTGCGCTGCGGAAAGTGAGCGCGCCACGGGGAGACGCGCAGTGGGTTCTATGAAGAGGCCTTCACATTGCAGGGCAGTAGCATCTGCACTGGCGCCTCTGTTTGCGGCTGTGCTTGGATGCATTGACAGCCGCGATTCTCAGCCACCATTGCTACTCACCAAGTCTCAACACGTGCCGCCTGCGCCCCCATCTGCGCCTTCCCTGCGTGTGCAGTCTCCATACCATTGCAACCTCCTGGTGGCGGGCTACGACAAGGGTGTGGGTCCCTCACTGTATTGGATGGACTACCTTGCCACTCTGCACAAGGTCAACACGGGCGGCACCGGCTATGGTGCGTGGCGGGCTGCCCAGGGAAAACCTTGGTCTTCCAGGGCATCCTGGGGGCCAAAGTGGCGTACTGCGCGTGGCTGGTGTGGCACGGCGGGCTGCTGCAGCTGCTTCGCATTGTCAGCTGGGCCAGGCTGCCAGGTTTTGTGCTTTTGGTAGTTGCGCTAGTGTCAGTCTCGCGTGTCCGTGCTCTAGGCTGATACCATGCTCCGGTGTTTTGCCGTTCTCTGGTCTTATGTTTTCTACGCACATTGTTCCATCGCCCATGAGAAGGGACCCTGCACCTCTTTTTACCGTGTTTGCAGACCTTCCATGAGTGCAAGCCACCCCCCCCCTGCAACCACTCACCCAGGCTCCTACTTTGCGCTGTCGCTGTTTGATAAGCTGTGGCACCCGGACATGACGGAGGCTGAGGCGCTGGCCATGATGGAGAAGGGCGTGGAGGAGATCCGGCGGCGCCTGGTGGTGGCGCCTCCAAAGTTTGTTGTCAAGGTGGTGGACGCGGACGGCGTGCGGACGGTGAAGGAGCTCAAGGTGTAGGCAGGATGTTTGGTTTGTGTGGCAGGTGGGCTGATCGTGTTTGGGTTCCAAGGTGCTATGTTGCACAGGAAGCCTCATTCTTATGTAATATTCCGCTATGACCATGGTGTTGGGGGAGCCTGGCATAGGCCACCGTCAGATGTGCAGTGGCGACACTGGCGG